CCTTGTAGATAGTTTTGGTTTTATTTGTCCAAGTTTTGAAATATCCATCTTATGTTTCTCACCCACTGTAGGAGGTCAGAGCATTGAAAAACTACATTTGACGGGTGCCCTGTTAGCTCACCTGGTAAAGCATGTGCCCCATCAGTCCTTACCACAGTGACCTGGGTTTCATTTAAACCCCGGGTCTATAAAGATCAATGTGAGCAATCCTTTGGAGTCACTAATGAATCTCTTTTTTTGACACTGGTTTAGTCTCCACCCGGGAAATGTCTGTTAGCTGCTAAATTCTCCACTTGGTTTGCTAGCTAGTTGCTAACTTTGCTATTCTGCTATTTGGTGTTGAGCAGTTAGTGTACAGTGGGTTTATTTTGAGTTTGACGTCTGCTGAAAACAGCATCCTGTCGCAGAATATGAGGTTGTTTACACCAGTGAGAATTAACTGAAATATAAAATTCGTAGGACGTAAAACCGAAACAATGAGCTGAAAGTTGGCAAAATGCTTCATAGATCTGAGAGGAACTGCAGAGTTGGGTGATAATTATCTGTAGATTCATCACTACGAGCAAACACTTTTACTTTATACACAGTCATTTCACTCATTGTTGATATAAAAATAAAAAATGAGTGCAGCATTAAATACAAATTTGCTTTAAGCACCACAAACTAACACTGGATGTAAAGCAAAAAAAGAAATTGTCTTTGTAATTTGGGTGAACTGACCCTTTAAAGGTCTTATTTCAATGGTGTCATTCCATTACCATTATTTTTAAACCAGGATGGCAGTCTTCAGTGTCCAACATGCAAAACCATCTACGGGGAGAAAACAGGCACACAGCCCCCTGGGAAGATGGAGTACCACGTCATCCCCCACTGCCTGCCCGGCTACCCAGACTCCAAGACCATCCGCATCGTCTATGACATTCCTGCTGGCATCCAGGTCAGAACCGTTAAATCCCAGTGCTGCTCTTGCGCCTTGATCCACTGTCTCTCCTCTCTAAATCTGAGCCCTTTCTATAACTGCTGCTTATCGGCTTAAGTTTGACGGTCGGTTGTTCGTGCAGGAAGGTGAGGTGTAAGTCACGGAAGAAACCAGCCTTCTTATGGATCACACTGTGGTTCTGGGCAACTTATAGTCATTATATTAGGACTATGATTAATGACTATCTTCATCATCTATTCATTTTCAGGGTTTTTTTAAGTAATTAATTCATCATTTAGTATATAAATAAATTGATTTACAAAATGAAGATAAAATCAGATGAAGGTCATTTTGAATGTACATCACATCTGCAGCAGAGAGAAGAGCATGTTTTGCAGCCCAGGCTTGAGCCGATGAGATAAAAAAAAAGGTCGCGTATTTCATCCTGACTACTGAGAGAAGCTTTAATAGAGTCAATAAACTGACCTTTTTCCACCAGAGGAGCAGGCTTTAGTGTCCCGGGGGGACAGAGAATACTGGAGGGTCACCTGACCAGCACAGCACTACCACCAGGGAACATTTCTGTTCTGTTGATCTCCCACCTCTGTTTCCAACACGATAAACAAAAGACAGAAAATACACTCTGCATGTATAAATTAAGTAGTTTTCTGCTGCTTTGCACTCAGACTGGTTTGCCGGTCTGTGTCTTTGGGCTACATGTACTTCCCAGTGAAAAAATAGGGAAAGACAGTAAATAATGTGACATTTTAGAGGCAGAAAGGCAAGCTTGTAGCAGCAGCAATGTGTTTGCAACACAGTTTAAACATTACTAGAAGTATGAAAATAGGGAAAGTATGTGTTTGTCATCACAAGGAAACCGTAACTAAATAATAATCCTTTGGAGTCACTAATGAATCTCTTCTTTTGACACTGGTTTAGTCTCCACCCGGGAAATAATTGTTGTAATAGTATGATTCCTTCATTAATAAGGGTGGGGGGTTTTCTGGTGAGGGTGCAGGAAGAGTTGGTGACCAGTTTATCTTTGCCCCCCACGGACAAGATTTTATTTTTTCACATTGGAGCCTTGAAAACTTTCTGAAATGTGATATTTAAGGAGATAATTGGATATTTACAATAGCATATCTCTCCAATGATTTGTACACAGGGCTATTGTAAGCAGCGTGGACATTAAAGCTCGTCCCTTGGGTGCTGTTGACATTTTCAGTGCAATTAAGTTGCAATTGGAGGAAAAGGAGTTGTAATGTTTGTTTTTGTTCTTGACATTTTCACCAGACCAATGAGCATCCCAACCCCGGGAAGAAGTTCAGTGCAAGAGGGTTTCCTCGACACTGCTACCTCCCTGACAATGAGAAAGGCAGGAAGGTAAGCCCCGACCAAGAAAGCACTGATCTAACATTAAACCTCAATGAGCATTAAAGCCACGCTGGAGTCCAGTGCACCCTTCTGCATACAGTACAATTAATTCCTCTAGAGGGGAAAGCTGTTCTGCTCTTTCTACAATCTGTGCTTGTATTTGTTCTTAGGTTTTTCTTCACTAAATGTACTAAACTGACTTCATTGTTATGATGAGCTTGTATTAAAGTTGTTTATTTATGTCTCTTGTAAAGTCACATGAATTATTGTTTTCCAGGACTGCACCTAACAGTTATTTTCATTAATCAGTTAATTATTTGGTCCATGATATGTCAGAAAATTGTAAAAAAAATGTTCATCACTGTTTCTCAAAGCACAAGCTAACGTCCTCAAATGTCTTGTTTTATCCCCAACCCAAAGATATTTACTGTCATAAGAGGGTGAATAAACCAGAAAATATTCACATTTGAGAAGCTGAAAGCAGAAAAATGACTCAAAATTATTATCAAAATAGTTGTCAATTTCTTACAACTTATCATTGCAGCTTTCTTGTTTTCAGGTTTACTCACAGGACCTTGCGTGCCAAATGAAATCTTGTACTTACATGTATTAATAACACAATTATGTATTATTCTGGGGTTGTAAATTTGTCAATCAATTAATGTTATTACTATTTTGCTGCACAAAATTTGGCTGTTAAAAATGTGCTTGCTTTCAAATCCAGGGATCGTGATGACTATTGTTATTGTATTATTTTATTTCAGTAAGATCAAAGTCGAGAATCTTATTTAACAGCCATTTAGTTTCTCTTAACGAGAACACAGATTACATTTCAGTTTTGGGATGACTCGCTTTGAGTTCAATGTTCAGACAGTAGTTTCACTATTAACTGGAAAAAACGAGTTTCTGAGTAAGATGATTGAGATGTGTCAATAGACCATAGTGAGACGTCAAAACAAATGTTGTGAAAGAGGACCAGCATTATTCTCTCACAATATACTCACCAGTTGCCAACCTTTTTACACCAAAATGAGCACATATATGCAGAATACTGGGCCTCTTTCATCTGTAATTTAGGGGTAATATTTTATGAACCTTTGTCATTCAACACCAGTGTGTTTTTCCACTTAAGAACTATTAGTTAACTGAGATTCTGTAGTTTCAACCGTTGAACTAGCAGTGCTTTACATGCCTTCATCTCATGTTGCACTGACTTCTGTAACATACTTTTCTCTTTACTTATCTGCCCTTAATCGTCTGCAGGCAATCCAGAATGCTGCTGCACAACTACTCACTAGATCAAATAGATGGCCTCACATTACCCCTGTACTTACATCTCCTCGATGGCTCCCTGCTGCCTATAGGACCCAGTTTAAAATTCTCACTCTTACTTACAGAGCATTGCGCGGTCGGGCTCCTGCACCCTTACTCATCAGCTCGCTCCCTTAGGTCAAATGTGCTAAATTTGCTGTCTGTGCCACGCACCCACCTTAAAACCTGTGCTGATCGAGCTTTGGTGGCAGTAGCACCTGAACTATGGAATAATTCTCAGCAGACATTGGCCGATGACGATTATCTGGCGTTTATTTATAATATAAATACATCTTACTTACTTGCACAGTACTAAGAACAAAATCACTATTGCATGTTGTTATGGACTGTAAAAAACAATAAATACAATAATGACAATTCACACTGGTGTCACATGTTTCCATCTCTGCCGATTGGAGCTGGAGCTGATAAGTGCTAGTGATTAATGCCGAGACATTTGGAAAGAATGCAAATTCTCATTAAAGACAAAAGCCAGATGTTCGTGGGGTTTTTTGTCCAGTGTGAAAGGGGCTTAAAATGTGCTTTTGCTTCAAATGTTGAGACCCACTAGTCCTGCATGTGGTGTGCTACTTTCTTCTTGCTATAGAGGGATAATAACTTCCTTCTCCACCCTCCTCCGTCCCTCCAGGTCCTGAAGCTGCTGATCATGGCCTGGGACCGACGCCTCATCTTCACCATCGGCACGTCCAGCACCACGGGCGAGTCAGACACAGTGGTGTGGAACGAGATTCACCACAAGACAGAATTCGGCTCCAACCTGACCGGCCACGGCTACCCCGACCCCAACTACCTGGACAACGTCCTGACAGAGCTGTCGGCCCAGGGGGTCGGCGAGGACAACCTGAAGGACTGATGTGCAGCTGAGCTGGTACACAGGACCACAACCCACCATGCCACGCCGTCTCCCAGAAAACAGGGACACTGCATGACGGGCCGACAACTCTTTACTCCCCACAAACAAAAAAAACCCCTGCAGAAGTGGTGGCACAAGAGCAACGGAAGCAAAATAAATGACGTGGTTATGATCAGTCTTTTTGATGTGTGTAACCTAAGATCCCCCCCCTGCTGTCTCTTGATCCATGCCTTGAGCATGTGTGTTTATGCCAAATTTTCTCAGAGGGTTGAAGAATGTAAAGATGAGGTGACGTTTCTCTCTTGATGTCGGTAGCTGCAGGTAAATGGTATTTAACCCCTTTTAGATCCAAACTGAAGCTGTCCTCCTGAGGGGCCAAAACTATACAAAGGCATATTTGTAAATGCTGAACTCCAGAATGCATGGCCCAGACTAACGCTGCATAATGAATGTTGGGCGAATATCTGCAATAGGGCGAGGTGTCATTAGATCAGTTGTTGCTTGTTTTTGTGAAGAGACATTTAAGAGAATTTCAGCATTCGGAATGATCCTGAATCGATATTTTGTTCCCCCCTTTTCTCTAATAATTATTTATTGTCGTGTAACAAGTGGTGGTTTTGTGATTTGAAGGAGAGGATTTGGGCTTTTTGGTGATGTTACTGTAAAGTTGCACTGGGCATCTCTGACATTTTCCACTTCTGATACCTTAGGTCAGTTGTTCTGTAAAATGAAAGCGTGTTCTGTAGTGCATGAAGTAGATTCCAGAGAGCTAAAGGCTATGAAATATTAGTGTTTGGTTGTAAACGTATGTTGTGTGGTTAACCTTGTGGACTGTCCATGAGAGGAGACATGAAATAGATGAAACAAGCATCTCACCGGTCAGTTTGATGCTTGTTACAAGGTGTTGTAACTTGAAAGACTGAGGTTGTGAAGCGGGGTTTGCTATGCTCCAAGGTTAAACTCATTTGTTTTGTTGACACACTGATGACGGTGACCTCTGTGAATATAAAGCCGGCATTATTTTTCTCCCTGCTGGAGCAAACCCGGGCGTTGGCACGATCCATCATGCTGACCATACATGAGGGGCGAGCGTGTGTGATTGCGTGCTTTGAGGCATTAATATGCTGGCTCGAAGTCCTTGAGGAGAATAGCTGAACACTCTCCTCACAGATGGACGTCTCCTCTTTTAAACACCAACAGTTTTTCCTCTGAGATGCATTTTGGGCAGCGCTCCTGCTCGCCTGCCATCTGAAAGTCTCTGGTGAGCTTGTTTGCTGCTAGGCAGTGCACGGGGCTCCACTGCTTGTATAGCGAGCAGTGAAATATCTCATTTCCTGCGTGAGCTCACTCAAGAGTTGCTAGGGCCGATTCCTAAAGTATGGCCTCGCTCACACTTTTCTCCTCCTCCTCCTCCTCCTACTCCTCCCCAAGAACCATGCAAATGTTGGTATGTAATTTGCTGGTAACCATTTTTTCCTATGCTCTCCTCTTTACCCCTCAGATATTATGCCTGTAAGCTAAAGACTTTTTGAAGGTCCTTGGAGGAGATGTGATGTTTCTTTAGTCTGAGATAAAAGATAACCCAGTGCTGCATAATTCTCCATAAATATATCTGATCAATGTTAATGAGCGGGGGTGTAGATGTAAGGTTTATCGAGTGGACACCCAGCTGTGAGCTTCATTTTGGAGTGAATCATAGTCTTCCATAGCACTTTGAGGCAACGGTTTTGTTTAATCGGTAGTTTAATTTTTAGAAAAATGTCTTAAATTGCAACAAAATCTGTCCTTTTTTTAAGTTGATGTTTATAAACTGGCTTGCAATGCTTTAAAAAATATATATAATATACATTTGCAGATGTGATATACCTTTAAATTCAAGCTCAATTTGAGTCGATGGTGTTTAAGTTTAATTTATTTTTATACTCTTCTATATAGAAAATATAATGATATCGACGGGCCCACATATCTATACACAGGCACATGTTACCATGAATACATAAAATCTGGCAAAGATGAATTTGTCAGTATGTCAGGGACTGTTGAAATATGTACGACATGTTATGGACGTCTTATATTACAAGTAGTCTTAGCGTATGCTGCTGTCGTTACCTTAATGTAGAATCTGTGTAGTCGATCCCCTGTGGGACTCCCAATAAATACAGTAAATGTGTCTTTATTATTGGTGGGGGAGCTTTAGCAGCATGAACATGACCGTTTCCCCTCCAAATAGACCATTTCTCTTTTTCTACTTGTCCAGAACATGGGAATGGATGCAGTCAGCAATCTTTGCTCAGTTTGAAGATGAAAACATCACACCTGGGTTAAAAAGAAGCTACACATAATGCTTGGAGTTTGTTTTAACTAAGCGAAGCAACATATTGGTGGGATTGACCTCAGTCAGTTGTCAATCTAAGTACACTGAATTTAATGTTTTTAAAGGCCCTGTAAACCTATTTTCTCTACTATCCTTCTCTGTAGTTCAACAGTTTTCTTCCAAAGTTTGAACATTTTTGGTTATTTTAAATGAGATTTTGTTGTATTTGTGTGTTCAGATATATAAACAAGGATGACATGACAGCTCTCTAAAAGTGAAGCCAAAACATATCGATCGCCCCCTGGTGGCTGTCTGCAGTATAGGTCATAAAGCCTCAATGTTAGCAGATGGGCCAAACTAAAAAACCAAAATACATATCAAATAAATGTTTCCCAAAGATTGCTTCTGTCATTTTAGGTAGTTCTGATCACTCTGATGTATGTTCAAGCTAAGTTTGGTTTTAATTAGTTATTTGAAGCTATAAAACAGGGGTTTTACATCATGATTTACTTGATGGACTTTGATACCGCGGCGCTGATGATTTGCCTCAAAAACACCCAATTTAATGTACAGATGTCTGAAGCTAACTAGCAATGTATGCTAGCTGTAAGCAAGGGTTTCAAACTGCTGGCCTGGGGGCCATTTCCGGCCCTCTATCCTCCTCACACTGACCTGCGACATGATGTCAAAAATATTATAATATCTGGCCCGCAAGATTTTATTTTTTTTATAAATTTTTATAGTTGTTTCATATCAAGTTAAATGGCCCCTTCATATGCAATTAAAATAAAAACACAATTATATATATATATATATATATATATTGAACTGTATTTTGTCAAAAATGCTTACAAATAATATGAAAATGATGATATAAAGATGTATAAAAACTGCTGTTTGCATGTTTTTGTTCAGTATAATGTCAGTAATGGAAGTATTTTAAGAATATTACGCTTTTTTATTGTACTTAGTAGTGGCCCTCCTCTGAGATAACAATACCAGCAGTGACCCCAAGCCAATTTGAGTCTTCAAGTTAAACTCTTCACAAAAATCAGCTAAGGATGATTATCCAAACATTAGCTTTATTGCTGCTTATTTAATCATGAATATTTAATCTTACAGAGAAATACTTAACAGTTTTCAGGGTCTTTGAACTGCACAGGCTAAAACAAACCACTAAAAGTATGTGTCTGTGTGATTTTGACCCAGGTGTTGTCATTGTTTGGCCTGCTCCATCTCAAGTTTTCTCCTTCACGACCTTTTTGACTCCCTTTATAATACGGGACAGCAAGAGAGAATGCTTCCAATCTATCAGGGAATTTTTTCCACGTTGAGTGAAGTTTCATTAACCAGAGAAATCCAAATGTTTGCTTCTTCAACCTTTCCTTTCCATGTATCGGCCTTGTAGTATGAACGATGCAGGCCCTTTAGACTTTTCAGGTGTGTACAGACTTATATGGGAATGATGAATAAAACATGGTTTGGTATTTGTTTGATTAAGAAAGAGAGAGAGATGGTGTTTATGCAATTTACTATTTTTAAGATCTAATACATGATTTATGTGTAGCAAGAAGGCAGATTCTTTTGGTTTAAATGACGATGGATGTTTTCTTTATGGGGTGCCTACCTCCAGGTTTCTAAACGAAAGGGGTCACGATCCGAGGATGTCCACATGCTATGTATTAGAAAACATATATTTTTGATGTCTTTTTTTGAATGATGATTGTCTCTAAAAGAACTATTACATAATATTGCTGTATTACTCTTATCAAGATCCATTCCATACTATTTTCCATTTGATTAGGAGCGGGATAAGGGATGAAATCACTTTGTCTAGGAGTAAATACAGTTGTACTCTCATAGTGTCAACTGCAAACTGTACTTCTCTCTCTAAATGATACCGTAACATTTTGTGTGGATATACTGCGTGTTTGTCTGTGCGAGTGTGCGTGAATGTGTGCGTCTAGTAAACGAATCGTAGGTTCATGTCCTTTAAAGATACAGTAATGTTCTCCTAGAGGTGCATGTTAACCAAACTGTGAGCAAGTTTATTGACAATGCATAGCTTTTTTGCGTATGGAAACATCATAGCTTCTTTAGAGATATCACCCAGGTCTTCTGGTGATTTAGCACTGTGGTTTCGCATCTTACTCCAGTTAGTTAGATTGATTTTTTCCTCTTATCGGGTTTGATTTACACAGATGGGGATGAGACAGCGTTTGGCTGCTCTCCTCACTCTTTTGACAAAACATGCAAATGTTTTGACTTTTAAGTGCCCATTTTAATTGACCTTTTTAAATCATGATTTCTGTGGTTTGATTTCTCTTAAGCAGTGTCTACATATTGCTATTTCAAATGGTTCACAAAGAGAAACTGAGACAAACTAAAAGCAAAATATTGAGAGACATTGATTAAACTATAAAGGGCTTCTTAATCTATCGGTCTTTATTGAATTGTGATGACCTTGTTGCATGTTTGTGTGTTTCTCGTGGAAAAATAAATGTGCCCTCGACAGGGGTAGTTTGACCTTTTGTCACCTTGGCTCTTCCTGGTTTTTTTCCCCCACTCACAGTGGCACGTCCTCCTTTATTTAGCTCCACCATTTCCTTCTCCCCGGGCAGCTCTGTGCTCTACAGCCTCTTTATGTGGATATAAATGAGCTTTGCTGGAGCTGTGGAGTGCAGCAGGAAGTTCTCACTGGCAGTAAATTTGCTTTATGGTCATTTTCTGTCACTGGCTGCTGTATGTTGGTGCTGTGGTGAAGAGCTGTGGTTGGTGCACACTAAAGCAGGCCGTCTACCAGGGGCCTGAGGGAGACCAACTTTCCCTTAAACTCACCCCTTTTCCTTCCAGCACTGACTGACCCAGCAGTTCAGGGCAAAGGTCAGTCTCCTCCTTGTTCTGGTACCTAACCCTCCTGCCCTGCCTCCTCTCATTGCTCACCTCTCATGCCTAATGAGAGAGCTAGAAGGGAGACTGCTGCATCACTGCTCTCATTAGCATTTAAATAAGGCTGGGAGGAGGAACGGCTGCAAACATTGTTTGTGTGGCATTATTTAACATTAGATTCTGACTCCTGTTGGATTGTAAAGTCTGTGGTTATGGTGGTTTGATTAAATTATTCATTTGAACAAAGGGCTGGTGTGGTAACCATGAGACTGTGAGGCTGCTCTGGGATCTGTCAGACACGTAATGACATTTCCTGTAATACCATGAATAAATATCATTGTCTGCGCTGAGTCAGACCTTCCACTTTAAAGTTAACCAGGAGAGGAATGGACAGAGTATTAGATACATAATCATTTCTACACAAATGGAACAAGAAGAGAACACAAATTTGACACTCGACTTCAGCTGAAATAATAGTTTACTGAATAATACAGTTGTGTTTAGTTCACAGTAACAATCCACTTGGAACCAACCATCATGGTGTATTTGCAAAATAAAGTACAGGCAGTAGTGTTTTTCCTTTTTTCAAAATAAAAGCCCTCATTCAGGGAATATCAAGATTCACAAGCGACATCTTACTCTACTTTTGAAAAGATTGTGTGACAGATCTGAAATCACTAAAACAAATTTTGTGTGCAGCAAATAACAAAACACTTAAGGAATAACTCTGCATGAATGTAGCCTATTGATTGTCATGTCTGGCATGTGTACTATAGAGTTACATCTAAGCCAGGAAGAATGTTTACTCCACACATAAATATTCCTCTAAAAGACAGGCAGACACTACAGTAGCTGTGCCATAATATAATCTAAACGGCTCCACAGACAGGGTGGCCTGCTGAGGCTATCTGAGAAATCACAGATCAGATCTCCATTACACTCACTGACCTTTTCTGTTTAGGGGAAAGACACTGAACACTAGTCGCTCTCCGGGAAATGGCTTTACAGCATGTCCATGTACAGTTTGTGTGTCTCAGATACATAAAGGAAATAGATGTTATTCAAGTGCTTCAGAATTCAACTTTTAAAAACAATTTTGGCATCTCAAACATATCCTGACACTTGTAAGCCGAATAGTGGCACCAAAATCTCAAGTTAAATGTAAACTTAAACTTAAAATGGGAACATCACATAATTATTACTCCTATTGTCTCACTTATATTCAAGATTGATCTGTTATATGTATGGACTTTGGGTATACATTACCCTTATGACTTTAGGAGTGGCTACATCAAGTGTAAGAACATTTCAAATATGCAAATTACATCAGAACCAAACATTTAAGTTGACTGGCCATAGCACCAAAGAAAAGCACATTGTTTTGTATAAAGGGACCAAAGCAACAATTAAAAATTTAAAATGAATACTCACTGTACAGGCAGCGTGATACTGTGGCATGTGCACCAGCATTTCATAAACTCGTGGTGGTATGACCTATAATGTTAATGTCAATGCTACATTGCGACCAAGGTGATAAATTGCCTCAGTAAAATACAAAATGAAAGCAATATCAAAACACATTACATTCAGGTACTGTAGATAACACAAGCTTTTTGCATAAAAATGTGCGACCGAGGTCCTGTACAGTATCTCAAAATATAAAAGCTTCTTTTCACATTTCACAACAAGTGGATGCAGGCCATGCAAGGGATTGCTTGTTATCTACATAAAAAATATCAAGTCAGATCATGCTTCAAAGTCCCTCGGCCCTCTTTATCGTCAAGTATCATAATCTCTCCCCGGCGCTGTTGAAGCCGGTGGCACTCAGAGAATACAAAAAGATTCAAAGTGGCAGAATTCCCTCTGCTCTTTACAGCGGGAAATGTACTAAAAAGGCTGGAAGAGGTTGCACCCCGTGGCCACTTTACTCTCCCTGACAATCAAGAGAGTGAATAACTGATGCTCACTCGGGTTGGTACAGGATGCTGGGCGACCCCCTTTGGGCATTAGTGGATCCCAGTCTATGTGTAGTCTAGGGATTCAGAATGACACTGGTGCTGTCCTCCTTTTCCCTGCGCTGGAAGGTGGCGTGAGCCTGCTCCAGATCGTCTATCACAGCCAGCAGCCGAGCAGCAACGCTCTGACCTGGCTTCATTTGCCTGCATTCTGCACCATCTACGAGACAGAAAGTGTTCAGTGCTCTCAAAGACAAATCGTGATGATGACATGAGGCTACACACAACAATAAAAACTGCAGAAGCTGCAGTCACACCTGGGTGAATGTCAGAGTTGATCTTTTCTTTATTGCTGGACGTCTGATCAGCGTCTGGCGTCTCCAGATATTTTTTCCTGCGGTATGAATCACAAACATTAATCATATGATCACTGACTACTCTCTAGAAGCTGCTT